TTGTTATCCAAAGGTCCGAAATATCGTGAGCCTAAATCGATCAATTGAAAATACAACTTCAAAATACTGATGGATTCAGTCGAGGATTATGCCAGGCAATGGGCTAAACGCGAGAAAGAAGACGTAGATACTCTTTCCGAATGGATTAAGGCTGTGAGGTCGTTGATACAAATCCGAATTAAGAAACTAAATGGGCATATCAATACCAACGCTACATCAATTTTTAAAAACCCAAATGTTGCAAAACACTTGTCCTACCTCCATGACAAATATGTTGTTGTCCCCGCAGATAAAGCCCCAAACAACATCGTTTTTGTGTGTAAATATCATTACATAAACTGCTTGATAAATGAATTAGGTATTGACAATTCACTTGGAAACTCAACATATACCCTCACGACACTTACCAAAGAGGAAATCCTGGATAATCATAAGTCTGTTCTATGTTCCTTTGGAATTTCAACCAAAGATGAAGAACTGGATCATCCATCACTGTATTGGATACCTAAACTACATAAGTGTCCTTACAAATAACGGTATATTGCTGGGTCTTCCAAGTGCTCCACGAAACCTCTTTCTAAATTATTAACATCTATTTTATCAGCAATCAAAGCCGGGCTCCAAAGTTATTGTGAAACTGCCTATTCTAGAGGTGGCGTGAATCAGATGTGGATACTAAAAAAATCCAAAGATCTTTTAGAGTACATACAATCTAAGACTCTCTCATCTTGCAATAGTATTAAAACATTTGACTTTTCTACACTTTACACAAGTATTCCCCATTCCAAACTAAAAGACAAATTGAAAGAGTTGGTATTACTTTGTTTCATTAAAAAGAATGGCGAACGTAGATACAAGTATCTTGTCTTGGGGAGGGATAAATCCTACTTTGTAAAGAATCACTCTGATTCAAACAAAAAATTATCTGAAACTGACATTATCAAGATGCTTGATTTCTTGATTGACAACATATTTGTTACGTTTGGAGGACGTCTTTTTCAACAGACTGTCGGAATTCCAATGGGAACCAATTGTGCCCCTCTTCTTGCCGACTTGTTTCTTTATTATTATGAGGCTGACTTCATACAGGAACTTCGTAGGAAGAAAGATAAGAAGTTAGCAATATCTTTTAACTCTACGTTCCGCTATATAGATGATGTTCTCTCACTAAATAATACAAAATTTGGTGACTATGTTGAACGAATCTATCCCATCGAACTAGAGATAAAGGATACTACAGATACAGTTAAGTCTGCCTCATATCTTGACTTACATCTAGAAATTGACAATGAGGGTCGGTTGAAAACAAAACTTTACGACAAAAGAGATGATTTCAGCTTCCCAATTGTGAACTTTCCATTTCTATGTAGCAACATTCCAGCAGCGCCTGCATACGGAGTACATATCTCCCAATTGATACGATATTTCCGGGCTTGTGTTTCCTATCATGATTTCCTTGATAGAGGATTGCTGCTCACAAGGAAGCTATTAAGCCAAGAGTTCCAAATGGTGAAGTTGAAATCATCCCTTCGTAAATTTTACGGACGCCATCACGAGTTGGTTGACCGTTATGGAATAACCGTTTCACAGATGATATCGGATATGTTCCTTATGTCGTAACTACAATACCCTTCCTTTTTAACGAATGTGACTTACCGAATTAGACTATTTACCGGATTTGTAATAACATAAGCAACACGACGGGTGCCACATGTGGAGCAGGATCTGCTTATCCTTCCGGAGCACCTGAGATCACCCCCAGTTTTTGGTGGGGTTCGTGATTCTTAGTCTTTAGTTTTCTATGTTGTGTCATCTGTACTATTATTTATCTGTTTGTCTTTTTATTTTTGGCCATGGCGTTGTCAGTTTGTTTTCGATCTATGAGTTTGACTGTCCCTCTGGTATCTTTCGTCCCTCTTTTATATATCTAAATAATGAATGTCATCTGATTAATTTTACGAATTGATATCAGCTATTGTTTGACTTAATAGTATATCATTACTCGTATTATCAGATTGGTAACTATCTAAGAAACAAAGTTAGTTAAAAAGCTGTTTGATAATTAAGTTTCTTAAAATTGGATAACTATAAACCTAAATAATAATTACCGAAAAACAAATTTTATTTTTTCTTTTGTTAATGTTTTATATTGGTATGTTAATTAAACACTTTTCCCTTATGCACCAAAAAAACGAAATTATGACAACCGAAATAGTCCATGCTACGGTACACGTCATACGATCTTCGATCAATTTAATGATAATAAAAACCTAATTTGCAAGTTCATTTTAGCGATTACAATAGTGTTTTTCATTGTTCTTTGTATGGTTTGAACCATAACAAATTTGTAAATGGTTTGTTTAGTTAATTCCTGCGTTCACCCCCATGTTGGTGGAGTTTGTGTTACTCAATTTCTTGTATTATTTATAGTAATTTTGATACCTTTGTTTGTCTTTTCGTCGTTTTCATTTTAGCTATTGTCTCATGTGTGTTGTCTGGTTTTTTGAACTGAGGGTTTGTGATTGCTGCCTCTGTAGATTTTCCCTCTTTTTCTGTGTTTCGTCTGCTGGAAAAATTACATTTTGTTTAAGTTTAAAAACTGTTTAAATCTCGTCGAGTTTGGTTTGTCCTCGTCCTCCTTATTCAATTGTATCACTTCCTTTTTTGTTGTAATTCTATCATAATAGTATGTCTAATATTACAGGAAATTACAAAAAAATATAACAAAAAGACTATTTTATTTTGAAGAAAAACTGATATATTTCAATGGAATACTCCAAAATGGTTGTCATATGTTTTTGCTTTAACGTTTTGTTGATTGGTATGGCTATCGGCACCACTGAAGTTACATATTCTACACATGAAAATGGTAAGATATATAGAAAAAAAAAATGACACAGTAAGTTATTTAGAATTATAGAATGCATTGGTAAATTATTCTTAACAATAGTATGCTATCTCACATAAACAAACCAAAGACACACAAACCAAATGTGTGTGTTCATATCGAACGCTCTGATTAAACGTTAGAAAGAATATATCAACATAATTTTCCATCTTATATTTAACCCACCATTTCGTGCGTTGAAATGTTGAATTGTGTATAGACTTCACCTTTATTAATTTACCTATAAATCAGTATTTTCGTTATCACATTTTTTGTATGTATACTATATAACAATGAGAAGATGTGGTATGGTTGCCAATGAGAAAACTCTCATCCAGAGACGAAAATGACGTAGAATTTATCAACTATAGGTCACCGTACATCCTTCGGCTATGAGCAAAATCATTACCACATGGTAAGCTGTAAAACGGCCGCAAATAATAAGTGTCAAGCAATTCAAACGAGAAATTGATTTATGTACACCACAATAAATGAAAACAAATATCATAAACAGTAACAAACGACAACCTCTGAACCACAGGCTTCTGACTTGTGACATGCACATACAGAATGTGGCGGGGTTAAACATATTTGATGGCGCAAAACCGTCTCCCTAACATGGGACAGAGTGTTAACAGTACAAAATAAGAACAAAAACTATAAAATATCATAACTGTAGTACATAAACCATTTTTAAGACGTTGAATTACTACAATAATGTAATGTATATTCCCTATTGGAATTTTGAAACAAGAATATGAAAAATCAGCTGAAAAAGGATTATATCATCAGATCAAAACAAAGCAGAAAAATCTGATAAAAACACAAAAGACCCAAAGTACAGGTCTGTGAGTACTCGCAATTGCTGAAAGCTAGTTAATCCAAAAACAACTAATAAAAAACATCATGTATCTAAGACTAAAATAGCAATCAGTACACACCAATCATCAAATTTATTTAGTGTAAAGACGTCATTAATAGTCAGATAAAAACTTGCCGTTGTGCAATTCCAAAATATAGATATCGACAGATTGTAGGACCGTAAATGCAATTATGTGTATAACAATAATATTTAGTTGGGTTTTTATTTATTGATAACAAAATTAATATTTATACCGGTAAAAATAAAATTCGAAGATCTAATTACAGTGTTGAATTAGTAACCTTTTAAAACAAGCTTATTTAAAGGATTGATAGGTTTAACTGAATCGTGTCTAAATTTACGGGCTCATTAAACAACATCATTGTAAAAATTTGCATACGCTATCCCGTTTAAAATACGTTTTCTACAGGTACAGCCAAACTTTCAAACCAAATCTGTGTATCTTTGAAAGAGTTAAGTAAAGGTTTAAAGTAATTTGTTGTGACATAATCCTTGACTTAGAAATTTACCCAGTAATACATATATTACGTTCATTGAAATCCAAAACGTCCCTACATACACTGGTATGTTATGCATTGCACAAAAATCTAAACATTTGATGCTGACTTTGCGGTATGGGTTTTGCTTATTGTTGAAGGCCGTACGGTGGCCTGTAATTGTAAACTTCTCTGGTGGTGAGTTGTATCATAGGCAATAATACCACATCTTCTTATTTGTATGTTAAGTGAGCAATTACTATTGCAACTATATAGTTCTGCTATAATATCTGTAAAAAAAAATCAAGGGGCAATCAAAACCCTAGATCGAAATAACAAATCAAATAACATATTATCAAAAAAGACAGTCAACAGTCCACAAAACGCTTCACAGGAACTAAGTTATAAGCAACACAAAATCAACCGGGAATCGGGTTAAACTCAGATGCTTCTTTTTCTATAAGCATCCGTCATGTTACACATTTTAAGTAAAAGTTCAATGATATGTGGCCTTCTGTGATGTCACAAAAGGATCACGGAATCGGGGCTTTCACAAATGAAGACGGTTAGTTGAAGCAGGTTTTACACCGCGGCAAACCTCGTTTTTTGTTTGACATTGTAATGAGAAAAATAAAATGATATAATGTTATGCAATTTTATAAAACATGTTGTACTATATAAAATTATACTTCCAGTTTCTTGAGGAAGATATAAAAATACCAGCATATGTGGCGTATTTGAATTTACACAAGATATGAAAACATTCCATATCATATCCGATGGGCATCATATTGATCCTTCGTGCTCACTTTATTTCATTGGTGTGAATAATATAAACAGCACGTACAGTTTTTCCGGCATGTGCTTTAAAATGTCTGATATAGCATTACCTTGTAGCAGAAATAATACACTTATTTTTCGAGGATGGGCTTTGGATATTCGTCACCGAAACCAGTCAATATTGCTGTATGCAAATCAAAGTATGGTAAGTCAATGATAATTTAATCTAAAAACAATGTTATCATTACCAATATATTATACCAAAGGGTATATTTTTGAATGTGGAAGAAATTCTGTAGTTATATTGTTTGTGTTTTTTAATTAAATATCAGTTTCAAACTATTTATATTAGATATAACTACATTCAAATCTTTAATTATTGTTTTGGGCTTTATTTTGTTAATTTATTTTGGTTTTACCTATTAGTCTTCAATTTGGTTGTTTTAAAGTGTACGAACAGATAGAAATACCCAGCGAACAGACTATATTTTACACGTGTTTTGTATCCAACTAGCACTTTCCTTTACGTAGCTTTTAAATGCATCTGTTTTTTTGAAAGATGATCAAAGTAAAAGTAACTTAGAAATTATATGGTATTGTCTATAATAGGAATAAAATTTGATATAAATATATTATCTATATTTTATGAAAATACGAAATTTGTTGCAACCGCAGGGCTAAAAAAGTATAACAAAAATAATGAACTCCAAGGCAAATACAAAAAGGGGAAGTCCATTAAACCTGACAAAATCAAACGCTTCAATCAACGGAACAAGTGAAAAACAACTGCTATATTCCTGACTTGGTACAAATTTAATCTAGATTTACCTTCATCAGTAACGCGCGTACCGAAAATAAAAATGAAAGCCAATGATTTATAACTACCTAAACATGCGAAGACCTATATGATCAGAAGGGTCACAAAAGAATAGCCAAATCAATCAAATATCAACTTTGCTTAAACATGTTCTGTGTGTGTTACATTTTCATGTTGTGTTTTTGTTGTGTCGTTGTTCTCCTCTTATATTTGATGCGTTTCCCTCAGTTTTAGTTTGTAACCCGGATTTGTTTTTATCTCTATCGATTTATGAGTTTCGAACAGCGGTATACTACTGTTGCCTTTATTTAAAGGAGTTCGAATAAAAGGTCTTTAACAATTTCTCAATTTATCAAGGGATCATTAAAGAGTATGATATAAATTATTTTAGGGCCAAACAATCGACTATTAAACTGGTGATGTCATTTTGGACTTAAAGTCCACCATCAGATGGTACGACCTATTGCTAGAAAAATGAAAATAATACTTTGTCGCATCCGAACCATATGTATGGATTTACCTTCATCAGGAAAACTCAGTCCACCAAAAAGCCAATAATGTATAACTACCTACACATGCGGAAAGCTATATGATTTAAAACGTCAAACGAAGACCAACTTTGCCTGAGGGAGTTTAAATCTTTCTTTTTTTATTATGATTCAATTAAACATTGGATAATTTCATTGCAAAAGTTTGTTATAAATCCTATGAGTACCGAATCACCGATAAGTGAGCTGATGGGATAATCCCCTCCGGAACAAACAGTTCGCCAGCAGCGGTAACGACTCAGCATTATAAAATAGAAAAATTAAAATTATAACGCTTAAAAAATGTGTTGCGTCCTAAGGCCTTTTCTGTATTACATTCATCTTTAATCAATAAGACAGTAATCTGACGATACAGAAACGTCTTGAATATGGGCTTCAATTTGTACAATGTCAATATTTATAGAAGAAAACACAATGCTGTCAGTGACGATTTTGAGTTACGTACAAGTACGAAAAAAGAAATCGAGTTGTTTATCCGTGTAATGTTATTTATAATATTGAAACAATATTTATAAAACAAATGAGTAGCTGTGCCCTGTACGAACAGAGCTGTTTAGACTTACAAGGTATGAGTTCACGTAAGACCACGGTTTCAGATATAAGAAAAATATTTGAAATAAGTTTTGAGTTTCAAATGAAAACTGTGGGGACCAATGCATGAATTTAAATGCTTAATTTTCACTTTCAGATTCATTTGTGAATTCTTCTCTAAAATATTTATTTTTCTGAAAGCTTAGAACTCATAATCTCCGATTTATTATTTTTCTCTTCTTTTCATATATTGCACTCCTAATTTATGTTCTAAATAAACGTCTTAATAATTTTCTTCTATTTATGTCGAAGCAAAATGAAATCTTGACTTTTGGAAATGCATTTACTGGTTTATTGTTTAGGCGTTTCACAGCTTCGCCTTCATAATAACTTTTTAATATACAATAGTTGTCGGTTATCTTCCTTTGTGTTGTCCTGTATTAAACAGACTGTTTAACATCCGTCTAGATACTAAGTATTGGACATAAGTTTTCTGGTGGACTTGGTTTTACATGACATGCTTACCTTTTTGACGCACTGTTATGAATCTCGTGTTATCATTTCTGTTGTTTGATATTTGTTGATTTTTCAAGTGAGTTTTCTCTAACATTAATAAGCGATGATTAATTTAGTAGTTGTTTTAGACGTTGAACAAGCTTTTTGTAAATAAAGGCAACAGTATTAAACCGCTGTTCAATAGTCATAATTCGATTAGGCAAAAACAAATCCGGGTAAAAAAAAACCCGAAGGAAACATATCAATTATAGGAGTAAAACAACGAAACAAAAGAAACACTGAACTACAACAAAAGCAAACGCCAACACACATAGAAAAGGACTGTAGATAACAACTGCCATATTCCTGACATGGTACAGGACAATTTAAGAAAAAATGGTGGGTTGAACCTGGGGTTATAAAAACAAATACCGCTAAAATATACCCTGATCTTAAACAATCTAGATTAGATTTCGTTTTGATTTCTGAAAGCCTTATAGATGACATTTGTGAAGTAAACATTGGTAATAGCTACAGGTCGGATTATTCACCAGTGATTTTGACTTTAAAAATTAATGAGTTTATAAAAAGCAGAGACCTCTGGAAGTATATCTACTCTCTCCTTCGAGATCCTGAATATGTAAAACTAATAAAACAACAAATTACTAACACAGTTGAGCAATATGCAGGTCCAGTGTATAGAGGGGATGCTTTACAAGGTATCGATAATTTAGATATCCAATTTGCAATTAATGACCAGTTATTTTTGGAGACCCTTCTCATTGAGATTATAGGTAAGACTATTTCAAATTCAACAATTATAAAAAGGGAAAGGATCAAACAGGAAATCCAGCTGACTGATGAGATACAAAAACTAGAGAAAAGGTAAGCACAGAGGATAATCTTCATGAAATAGAAGCCAAAAAATGTCAACTTAGAATTTTGAGACATAAAAAGGTTAAAGGTCAATATGTTAGGTCAAGAACCCATTGGATCGAAGAAGGAGAGAGGTCGACTTGTTTCTTTTGTAATTCAAAAACACAAAAATTTATCAATAAGACTATTAAAAAACTAGTTATCGATGAAAAGACAATAGTAGAAATTCAAAAATAAATCTTAAAACAATCAAAAATATTTTATGAAAAACTTTACAAAAGACAAGAGTGTCTAAAAAAAGTAAATTTATCAAGAGAAATACCATTTTTGACATCTAAATTAAAAGATATCGAAAAAGAATCCATAGAAGGTAACATTTCCTTTACTGAATTAACACAAGCATTGAAAAGAATGAACAATAATAAAAGGGTCAGATGGTTTTACTGCAGAATTTTTCAAAGTATTTTGGATAGACATTGGAAAGTTTGTCTTGAGGTCAATGAATTATGCATGTCAAATAGGGGGAATGTCTGTTACACAGAGGCAAGGAGTTATCACATGTATTCCAAAAGAAGGCAATTAAAAACAGTTCTTAAAAAATTGGCGTCCAATTACTCTTTTGAACTCAACATACAAACTAGCTTCTAGTTGTGTATAGCTGAGAGGATAAAGTCAGTTCTAAACCAAATTATTGACTCTGATCAAACTTGCTTCCTCCCGGGTAGATTTGTTGGGGAGAATTGTAGACTTATTTATGATATTTTACACTTACCAGAAGAAAATGATCTCCCTGGTATATTATTACTTATTGGTTTTGAGAAGGCTTTAAACTCTATATCATGGGCATTTATCTTTGAAACACTTAAGTATTTTAAATTTGGAGATTCAATTATAAATTGGATAAAAACATTTTACAATGATATTTCATTAACTGTCACCAAGAACAGTTGTCTGTCAGACTTTTTTCCGTGTGGGGCGAGGCTGTAGACAAGGGGACTCTGTGTCTCATTACTTTTTTTTGCTATGTGCAGAAATACTAGGCGTTTTAGTAAGAAATAGTGATGAGATGAAGGATATTACTATAGATGATTCAGAGTATATCTTGTCTCAATATGCAGACGACACATCACTTATTTTAGATAGATCGCCTTCCTCACTGGATGCATACCACCGTATTTTACAATTCTATGCTGAGATATCAGGACTGAAAATTAACTTAGACAAAACAAACGTTAAATCGATAAGTAGTAAAAGACATAGTCAGGACAAAATATGTGTAGAGTGGGCTCTGAAGTGGGGTTCCAGTATCTTCAAACTATTGGGTATCACTTTTTGTGTTGATGAAGATAGAATGTTAAACCTTTTGTTCCTTAAATACAAGAAATACAAAATATATTACAAAAATGATCAAAACAGTCACTTACCCCATTTGGTAAAATAACAATTATAAAGTCTCTAATTATATCAAATTTGAATTATCTGTTCCTGTCCATCCCAGGTCTATATGATAATATGATACGCCAACTTATTAGTTAAATTCATTCATTCATTTGGGATGATAAGACTGACAAGATAGAGCGGGATCTTCTATGTCAAGAATACTACAGAGGGGGCATCAATGAATTTATTTGAGAAATTATATACAAGGGTTAAAACTTACTTGGGTTAGAAGATTATTCAAGTAAAAATCTAAATGAATACAATTATTTACCACCACACAAAATATAAATTTCAAACAGTTGGCTTATTTTGGAACCATTAAAATATAAAAAAAACTAATTTTTGGATGAGGTTTGAATGCCTGGAAAAATATATCAAAATTCTGACGTCCTTGTCATTTTGAGGAAGTTATTTCGACATCCATATGGAATAATGAGCATATTAAAATTGATAATATCAGCGTTTACTACAAAAATTGGGCACATCATGGGGTATGAT